TAACAACGGGAAATTCAAACAGGGATTAAGTTATCGTGTAGGAAAATGATGGACCCCACTAAGGAAAGCACCGTTAAAGTGGTAAATTCCGTGCGATCAATGTAGAACAAATCAATTAGCGTTTAGATGGATATTGATTTTCATTTTGTAGCAAAACGTTTTGATGTTTTTATACTTCGTCATCTTTAGCACACTAATCTGTAACGTGAGCACCTCGTTCTACCTAAGTGGATATGCCTAAGTAATTCAACCTAGTTTCACTTGCAATGTGAAATAAGGTTTTCTGATATCAGTTAGTTGTACAAACGTACTTTGTATGCGTGCTTGGAAATAGCACGAATGCAGGCACTCGGTGGTTCGTGAATCAAAGATGTGCGGTATCTGGTGTAACTGGGGTATTAGAATCATGCTTAAATTTAATTAAGTAGATACAGATAACGCACATATCCATCTACCCGCTAACTATTATTCTATTATTAATAGTGGCAACTTTGGCTATCCATCCCGCTTTTTCTGATAAGGCTTCTTTTCGGGGGGGTCTTAAGTTCTGTGGCTTTGACTTCCCGATCTTCCCTATCAGCCCTTAGCTACCTCTCAAGACAGAAAGCCTAACTTGCAGGTAGTATATATATACTATTTGTAAATTAATGTTTATCGTTCTACTTCAATATGTTCGCTGCTAAAGTAATTATTAGAGCTTCGGGTTGATTTATTTCGCCTTTTTCTCAACGTATAAAGATGGGGCATCATTGTTTCAAGACAAACGTACGGATCTTTGTTTTTCTTCACGTTATTGTTATTATTATTATTATTATTATTATTATTAGTAGCATAGCTTTGCAGTAACAAATTCTAAAAATACTGGTCAGGGAACAGACCGTGTCAGCTGAGTCAGTATGCTTAAAGAGTATAGTGGACGCGGTAAGCCACCCGTCTATAGGAAAACTTATTGACCAACTTGTAGGGTTAGTGCAGTATGTACGTATATTTGAACAGCCAGGCAACTGTATGATGAACCGATACTGTTAAGTCCCAGTTATGAAAAAGAAGTTTGTCAGTGCCTTTCGCACTCGGTATATTGTGTATAATTTATGATTACTAAGTAACTTATAAGTAAGCATGTAACTTATGATAAGTACTGGAATTTCTGTATAAACATCTCAGTTACATTTATTACATAGCTGACAATTAACTGTCGTACTCACTTTGAAACTATGCGCAATTGATTTTATGTGGAGGATTCTGGTAGAGCTGCTTTTCTTGGGCAAAACGAGATACTTGTATTTTCCGAAAGTAAAGATGGCCACATAATTTTGTCCCATTATTAGCACCAATCTATGCCGAAGGGAACTCTTTATTGTAAAATATAGTTACCCGGCGACTTCGAAAAATTGTCGTGGAACGCTTGAATGTGTTTGATTGTTCAGTAACAATCTGGGCAGCGCATCCACAGCTTTCAATGTTTCCGCAGAAGTTAAATGGTCTTACTTATTTTGTAGTTATAATCATACTAATTAATTATATAATTAAACAGTAGTAATTGATATAGTATAGTAATGGTATATAGGCAGTCTATATCAGGCCGATCGTTAGTCTGCCTAATCGCCTCTCCCGACGCGACCCCTCGGATAAATGCGTCACGAAGTCTTCCTGGCGAGAGCTAAAGGAAAGCTAGTCAATTTGATAATGCCTCTTTGTAGTTCGGTTAACTTTTTATGACAGTGCTTACGTTATCGTGTTTTTACGCGCTAGATAACAAAATAGCTAAGACCTTCAGCACAAGGCTGATGATGGGCTTGTTTTCGTGTTACGATACGAATAAACACGTGCGATAAAACAAATCGGAGAGGACGAACTCAGTATTAGAGTCTTATTAATTGTGCATATCAATAATGTTTGTCAAAGCTTTCAGAGGATGTGCTTGAAATAATCATGGATTGCCAGTTAGGACACTCTATGCAGTTGCTAAATATGAGAGGATCGTGTATGAAAGAGAACAGGTGTTTCAAGACGGAGCTAGGACCATGCAAGAAGGGACTGTACCTACAGAGCTCACCGGAATATCTTATGAGTCATTCATTTTGAATAAGAGTAATAAAGTTAATTTCATTTGCATATTCCTCTAATAAAACATTAGAAACATTATCCACAAATAATCAATGTATTTTTTTATATCATAGCTCCGCATGTGCATTTTCGTTTTTGTTTCTGTTAATAAAATTACGAAAATTCCATATTCAAGAGAGACTCATTACGTGTTCCTACTATTTCCGTTAATCAAGTCCATCCTGTGCTGCTACCAGGGATGACGGAAGCGCTTCGAGGGATATGCGGTGTCGTCGCATATATTTGTTACTTGTTTTATTCCTTATTTTGTCCGTATTTTGCCTTTTTTTTTGTTGCCTTACCAGCAGAGTCGTCCCTCTAACAACAAGAACCGACCGGCGACAATTTTTGAAACCACTAACCACAATACAGATCTATCGCGTGCCTTCTACCAGAGAGAGAGAGAGAGAGAGAGAGATATGCAGTTTCCACTAAGCACATTTCTTTTTGTGGGGGCAGTTAGTTTTCGGGCTCTTTTCCATTACTTCTAACTGAACTTATTTGATATTGTTTGAATAACCCGAAACAACGTGGTCATTCACGAAGGTCTACTGGTCGACCACCCCATCGCATTACTTGCTGTCGCTGACCATGTCGATCTTTGTTTTTAGCCCATCATGGCAGTAATTTCCGTCTGCAGATTACTTCCAAATAGGCCGTTCGAGACGTTGCAATTTCAAAAAAAAAAAGGTATCCCTGCAGCCGCTCTATGGTTAACTGCTTCGTGATCACGCGACTATATGATCCAAAAGAAAATAGCGAAGCATCGTTATTTTCATTTGTTTTTTCACTGATTCCTATACGATTTAGACTGAAGTGAGGAGCTGAGCGATTTTAACAGTAAACTGGTTATTTCTCTTTGAGCTCTGTGTAGGAAGCGCTTCTAGTGACTCATAACTTATATTTATTGTCTTGTTGCATAGAGAAGGCCAATGCTGCTGCGGTTTAGCTGAAACAGACCAACGAACCCAAACGACTATACAAAAAAGAAACATAAGCCATAGAGTTTATCGAGAAATAAACTGATCACATGGAAGATGACATGTGCTTTTAGTTCTGGAGGGGGCACTGCACTAATAGAGGCCTAATAAGCTTCAGTATGGTATGTCCTTTTTTGAACAATACTGTAAACATAGAATAGCAATCTGTCCGCTTCTCGAAAAGAAGCCTAGCATCAAATGCTCAAAAATGCAGTATTTTCAATCGGTATTAACTTATCTACTCATGAAGTCACCCATAATTAGACATGTCATTTAAAAAACAAATCTATATATATATCAGTTTTAATAGTGCAATTCCTTGTAGGTAGCGACAATACGATGTACTGCGTCTTCTGCCAACGTAGTTACTTATCCATAGTAACCTAAAAAATCTCGAAAAGTACGCTATTATAGAAGATACGGCGACCATAAGCAGGGCGGAGAATAAATCTAGTAACAAATTGGCCAACACTTCTTAATAATGCAGTCAAATTATTGTGAATATATTACAATGGCCTTACGAGTCATTCCCGATATCAACCACCACAGCAAGCGATCTTCATCGAGAACGTCAATTTTGTTGTTTCTTGTGCTTCTTGTTTGAACTACAGTAACTTCCCGATAATTTTCAAACTGGTAAGTAGACACTGCTCTGTCAATACCGACGTATGCGAACACATGTTCTTCCGGATTAAATAAGCTTTTTTTTGTTCTATTTCGGTAGTGATTGTAGGGCCGACGATATTCGGATGATGCCAACGTAACCAGAGCCCTACATGACACGCAAAGGCACATCACAGATCGCGTAACCTCCACTATCCTCGAAGGCCCCACCAGCTCCCATTGCCACTAACCCTGTTATGCCTCGCAGCGAGAGACGAAGCTAGGTAAGCGATTGTTACTTCACAATTTGACTCGCTATCACGTGTTCGCCGTCTTTGACGTTTGCATCCGCCCGCAGATGTGGCGTCAGTGAAGCCCCACTTTTGGATCCCTTACTCGGCGTTCTGCGCAGCTAGCGTTTCGTAGTTCCTCTTTTAATAAGCCAATCAGCGGCACTTCAGACGACGCGTACTTCAGGCGACAGTTCCTACTTGACAGGGACAAAGTGCTGATAGTTTATAAAATGGCTTCAGTGACGCTCAGAACAAGATTCTTTCTTGTACAATATCAATTTTTTTTTTTGTTCAACTTAGGGATCTTGGATATCTTGAAGTCATTTTAAAGAAACGGAGCGTACCGCCGTGAATAGTACGTATAGCTTCAAAGTGCTAGTTTGATGATAAAGAACTAAACACTGATCAAGAATGCTATTAGATAGGCGTAAGTAAACACGTCAGATATATATAGTGGTCTAGGCACGCGATGTGGATACTTCCGCTGTCGATTAAAGTTGATCCCTCATCTTTTGCGACGCAATCATCCCGCTAGTTCTCTACAATGGACCATCCAAAAATGAAACGATTCTCCATGCTCCAACGTCACGCCGGAGAAAGGACCCGCACCATCGGGCTGTCAGTCATCAACGCTCATCACAGAGCCAGCAGACACAGGATCAACGGGCAACTGGTCTCGTTTGTTGCCCACCAACATCCGAAGTAGAAGCAGCCCATGGACCAGCACTTTCACCAACACGATGCTCAGACCAGTTTTCGCTCTTATATCATCAGTTGCGCCGAGATTCGCCGCCCAGTTCGCACCCGAGGCGCTGTTCGATTTGTAAGCACAAAACGCCCACTGGAACTTAACAGAATTGTAAACTTAATAAAACGGTGAAAGTGAAGTAAGCTTGAGTTCATTAGCGAAAGCTTATGCGTGTCGATCGTCAAATAATTGCCACGCGTATATTTTCCTGATACGTGAGTGTCATGTCATGACTGGTGACTGTTAGTTTATGCTGTTCGAGCTAGTTAAGAAGAGACATGTATATGTTTTGTGACCTGATCAAGCGACTTTGGTATAGCGAGTCCTCTAATACTTCAACGCCATTTAAAACCGTTTTATTCAGGATGCTACTGTGTCTTTTTCTACTTATCTCGGCCGTGCAGGCATTAGTAATTAGTACCGTATTTGCACCGCGCCTTAGGGCCCTGCAGAATTTGCGGCCTGAAAAGTCACAGGCAACTGAACTGACTCGAGACCAAAACAACACCATTATAATATCTTCGACTAAGCTTACTATAGAGCCTCGAAATCCACAGAAAGCTATTCAGGCTATTACAGGAAAAAAATCACCAACTGCACGATACTACCCTGAAGTGGGCCCCTTGAGCGTCCGAGAGGTAATCGCTAAGGAAACGTTTCGACTGATCGCCCAAATGGCTCTTGATCGGATACCTTCGAAGTACGTGCGCTCTCATGCGAAAAAAACGAAAAAAAACGTTAGATATTGATGTGAAAAGTTAAGCCCAGTGTGTTTGAAATATAAAAATGATAAATTCGTTGAGATTGATGGTGTTTTGGCAACGATCAAACGAGATCATAAGCCCGATTTCTGTGAGTGCAACAAATAAGCAACTAATTAACGCGTGAACTTAAGAACAAACGAAGGGGCGATAGCATACGGGCTAATAAACGATGAAGTCTTAACGGAACATATGAGCTTCTATTGGGCCGCTTGCTGTGACATTACTATTGACTATACTGGCCGAATAATGAGTATATTACAAGCAAAAGCTTTTTTTTTTCCTGAAATAGATAAGTTATCGAATTAAGTTTCCTTCTTGAAACACGCAAGCGTGGAACATTTAAGAAAAGATCCAGGAAGATCGTTGGACTGTAGCTATTAGTTCTCTCTTCAAACATCATTTCTCTTCCTTATTATGTAACATTAATTTTTAGGATAGAAAAAGGTGGATTTCACGAATTATTTATTTTGCCTATTTACGTGGCGAACACGAACCAAAGACCGAGTGTTCAGGTAGAGCGCTTTAGCTGGCTAAGTCATCATCTTAGATGGATTTTTTTTAAGTAAATATAAATGATATTTTTGGGTGTGCTTCCCGTGTGATAAGCCTGATCTTACTTTATTAGAAACAAGTCAACCATAGCAGCATACGTTATTCAATGATGGGGCACTTTTCTGCACAACTGCATGGTGGAACGTTTACCGTCAAACTCTTGACTGCAACAGTTTCCTGCAATCTTTTACCCTGTAGGCGTCACGATTCCCACGAATGGTACTTACCGTCATATCACTACGGCAAGACGAAAGATCTTCAGAGTCGACACTTCTTTGAGAGTGAAGAGTTTCTGTTGTTCCTGCTTGGTCTCGGACTTGCTTCGGTCCTCGGTGAGTTTTGCTAGGATATTTTCGCTAATACGAAAGTAATCTACTACAGACAGATAAGTAGCACAAGTCTTTTCCCAGTTAAACACGACGACAGCTTCGATTAGTCTGGCCAAGAAAGATGTTCAGCTTTACGTAGTATTCAACCGATCGGTCATAATGCATGGGTGCCCTGAAACTGTCAACGGAACGAATTAAGTGATCAGAACGTTTCGACATTTGCTCACAGCTACAGATTCGTTGACACACGGTACGGTATGTTTGCCTTCGCTGGGATTGACGGCCCTGACCATTACGACCCACGAAGTTGTCAAAATGGGATGGGAGTGCCTACAATTTGAACTTCGAACAGTTATCCTCAAAGAATTCTGCCTGGAAAAGCTTTCCAAGCTATATTACAGAGCTAAAATTAAATGAAAGAAAAAGTGAAGAAAAATTTTGTAAAATGTTAACACTTCGCACCGGACAACCGTATGGTTCATATGCTTTATGAGATAGATATATATACATGTAGTTCATCTTTGTTCAGATATCTGCGTAAATCAAATCGTCGTTTGAACGTCTGTTGGACGCAGGTTAGGTTTGAAACACCGGTTTTCAAACTCATGCCAGTAGAATCCAGACGCTCATAATCGGTAAGCACGTTATTAATAAAATAACATAATAATTACGCAACGGTTTTTTTTTGTATCTCTCCTGTATTTATCTAGACAAATTGGTTTTGTCCATATTTGTTGTTTATTATAAAGGTATGGCAACGGTACTGGCCCCCCTTAATCAGATGTTGTATACAAATGCCATCTACGGCGCCGGAGGTGGATATGCGCCGATCCCGATCGGACCAGGGGTCTTTGCATCCCAACATGGCCGACGCCGCAGAAGGTATCATTAGTGCACAGCTAAAAGCAAATATGCACATTTCTGGTTGACTGCAATATTATGAAACATTTTTGAATGCTAAAACAGATGGATTCAAAGAAGATGTGTGGAATAGAAAATACTTTCTTGATAGATTACGAGGGTGATGATGATACGTAAAAATGATCACTTATTTCCTTTTGGCGTCAACTGCACACTTATATAGATCAAATGTTATAAATCAAAGATATAAATCTCTATACTTTCACAGATCCTCGATGTTATAATCGTCACGGTTAAAACCATCGTAGTCTCAGTTTGTATTTAAAAATCGGCGTTTTCATTCTAGATCTCCTTCGACGCACGACTATCGACGGAAAGCGAGGATCGAGACGATCAAACGTCGGCTGAAACGAGCGTCACGACGATACAATTCCGCTAGAAGTCGCATCCCTGACCCTCGTCGAACAAATCCAACTGAAAAAAGTAGCTTGTTTTGGAAGAGCGACAGTTGCCATAAGTTTCACTTTGAAACACCGAGGTCCCGGGTTTAAGACCTAGCTGATACAAGGCTTTTTCAAACTAGTATTTTACTCACAACAACATCAGCTATCACCTCGTTATGCGCTCGCATTCGTTTAGCGTGCTCAACCAATTGCAGGCTCAACCAAAGTGCGTTAAAGTCACTGTCCGCCGCCCAATTGCCAGGACCACGTTTTCTGGAAAAGTTTGACAAACATGTTATCGAGTAGTCTATAAATGTCGATTCGTACCGTTGATCAGGCGCGATACTCGAGAATGCTATGATTTAGCAAGCGTAAGCGACCTTGTTACATTGTAATCAAAGGTTGAACATAGTGATAATGGCCAATGTGAAAGCTATGTGCTTGTTGTTTTTTTCTAGTAATAGAAATACTAGAATATTTATCCGTATGTTTTTGGTGATTACGGGAGAGAAAGCATGTACAAATATGTTGGATACTAATCAATAGAGCTACACAGTGGATATTTTCTCCATTAATAGTTATTCATTATTATATTTTTGTCTGTCTGCTTACAATAAAATAAGCCCCTCTTATGATAAAATAAAGGCCCTATTCTCGGGTTATCGATAATGATTTGGTAGTAGTAGTGGTTTGAGAATGTAAACTGTATTTGATTCATCCTCTGGCCAGTTTGATTTAACCAAGGTAAGACTCCAAAACATGTCTGTAACTTTCGTAAAGTTAGCTTCTCGGGTGGGCGGGAGCCGTCGCTTCGTTGAGTTTGATAATCCATTGACACACTACCGCTTTGGCTGCGACTGTTTAGCGTTTTCGAGACCACTTCACAAGCGGCATAGGGTAACAATAGCATGATTAATTGGACTGCCTGGAGAAACGTCATAACTGTAATGTTTTGAATGCTTTTATAGAAGCGGCCACGGCTCCAGATAACGTTTCCACAATACCGGAAACAGTGAATGGCTATTTGTGAACCAGCATAGGCATCTCGTTCATGGAGTTCCTGGGAGCTACTATATTAGTTAGCAGCTTATCAACGAAAATGAGAGGTGTCCGGACATACTCAGGACGAGCCCACAAGAACAGGACTACTAATGATCATATGGCGCTGTTAAGCCTGCAGTAGATTAACCCCGGTAGTAGCCTCCAGCTTCTTCCATTTTCGTCGGAGTCCTTCACGTCCGTCACATGTTTGGGTTAGTAGACCTGTTGTAAGCATAAAAGCCCGTACGACGGTAGTAAGAGTTTTGCTCAACATAGCTCTTTGCCCCTTTATCCTTTGCAAGCTAACACCAAACTTCCTGGGAAGCCTCTGAGACGGATTTCCAAGAGAACTTAAGCATCAGTTTGCCAAATCTTCCATTACCTGCCGCGTGAAATGATTGTCAAAAAACTAAGAAAACCACTCACTATTGTACCGAGGATTGTTGAACAGCAAAAAAAAACACAATTTAGTGAATTGATTTAGAAACAACATTGTTCCCTTTTAAAGCAGCTCCTTTAATGCAACACCAAGAACAAGCATGACGACGAAAGCAGGCGCTGACGGATCAGCCTCGAACGTAAGTGTTTTTTCTTGCGTTTTACGTCCGATCATACTCAACGTTTTAGATGTTACTTCAGACGAACCAAAATGTAGCGGACAAAGTTCAACTGGATTTGAATGTACGCGGGCTCCTTCGCATTACAGCCTTGATGGGTATAATTGCTGTCGTGACCAAAAACTTGTTTTAGGCCGAGAAAATACTTGAAGCCGCTGGCACAAGCTGATCACTTAATGATCGTGCTCAGCTGGTGACGCCGTCAAAGAGCTACGTTCATTCCTATTAGGCGGTTTAATTGGGCTAGATGCGCCCACGACAGCCTACCTCAAACGTTTTATCCTAGCAAATCGAACTTGTATGATCTGTCTAGGCATTCTTGCTTACGTTCGTGATTCGACTCGCGACGCTCCAACGCACCTGGATGCAGTTTAAAAAGGTTGGCAACAATCAAATTGCTTCTTAGCATAGATGTCAAAAACTCTAATACTATATACTGCTATAGACGAGCCACATAAAGAGGCACGTAACTGAGATCTTCACATGTGCAACAAATGCTGTTTTTTTAAATTGAATTTTAAACAACCTTTTCTGACTTTTGAAAAAAAAGGATATTCTCATGGAGGTAGTGCCCCAGCGGGAGAATGCCCTGCACCCGATAATGCATCAAACTTACCCAAAATCTATGCCACCAATGATTGGTAAATAAAGTATCAGGTATCGTGCGGGTTGCCTACAAAAAGATCCGAATGTCCTTTCTGCGTTCAGCCTTGTATTACATCGATACGTAAAATCAGTGGTAGTGGCGGTAGTGCCGCTTTTGAATCCGAAGCTCTGTTGGATACCGTTCGTCACGTCGGATGGTTAACAGTCTTCCGGCACCACTCACCAATACGAGCTAGAAAAAGATCAAGCGCCTAGCATGAGATATGGCTAATAAGAGACAGGGTACTGTGAGAGTACGGTACCAGCATAGATTTTTAAAAGCGCCAATTATCTACGCAGTTTGCTTTTTTCTTTTAGCGATTAATTATCAGGTGTTTAAAGCCTTTAAGGGTACCGCTAGGTTGAGCAAACAATTAGGCAAGACGGAGAAGTCTTGATTAGCTTGAGGCCTTCAATGAACATCTTTCTTTTAAAAAAGCGTGGACTTGAAGTTACAGAGCAGCGCAGCGTTACAATGTTACATGCCAGCGCGCTGCCCATAGTGATAGTACTGTTACTTTCATCGATAATATAATCTATATATATTCATATGAAAATAAATCTAAAAAATTGTTATTATTCCTCGTTAATTATATATTGAGAGTTACAGGTAGCATTAATGCAAAAGTTTACTTTTTGGTAACTAAGAACTAACATTTCCGTGAGAGTACTTTGGCAGACGACACATAATGCAGGGATAGATTTTATGCACATTCGCAGTAGTAACCTAATTACTTTACGAGCATTCCTTTAGGTCATAAAGAAAGCAGGAAATGCATGCATGCCAGTGGAACATTTTTTTATTTGCTTTCAGAGAATACTTTTTCTTTGTTATTGAATGTTACTATTCGAAGGGCGGCCGCCAGTTAGCATCTATAATAACTAAGTGAAAACTAACTGTATTTTATTATATTTTTGTAAAATTATGACTATTTCTTATTATTTTAAAAGCGTTGGCTCACCTTCAATTCGTCTTCATAATTTAGTGAAAACGGGTATTGGACGACTTCGCTTAGGTAGCAGACAGTACCGTCGTCTTTGTACGCCAGAAGGATTACAGTAAATGGCATCAATCAGTTCGCTCCTGCCGCTATTCTATGCTAAACGCATCCCGTCGTTTTCTTTCCCTGGCACCCCCCGCCTCGGCCCCTCTCCAGCACTCGCTGCTATCTATCACAGCTCCAAGCCCCATTGCTTTGAGTTACGTTCTCCACGACCCTTTCTGTCGTTTCTCGTTGTTCTTCCGTTGTCCCCAACTAGGAACGGACCCCTGCCCTCCTGTTCCTTACAAGACGAGGCCACAACAGAAAAGGACAGCACTAGCAACAACTAGCAGGCTAGTGGCCACAGGTCCGCGTAGTAAGGTGAGGCCTGGAACGCGATTATGATGATGGTGATCGTGCAATCGCTACAATAGCTGCGAAGACAGGTCCAGTAAAAGCTAGCGATAATGACCTAACTCGTTCTGATAAATGCCTTCCGAGCCCCTCGCTTTTCCGATGCCTCTACACCCACGTTCTCGTGCCTCGACTTCGTGCAACAAAGCGCCCATTTTCGTTTCCCCTCGAACGGCGGTCTCTTTTCTCACAGTTTTTGTGTCTGTCTTTCCATCCCCACTGCTAGGCGTCGATGTTCTAGGTCCGGCCGAGTTGTCTGCGCGCAATCCAAGTCAATGGCAGTGAAAATGGAAGGCAACAATAAAATGTTGCTTCGTTTTATCCTCTGTCCTGTTCGCCGTTGCCTCATTCAAGGTTCTGGTAGGAGGTTGGTTGTCGTTGTTACCCACTGTCCTCGAACCCTCCACATTCCCCGATGTCTTCTACTGCTGCTGATGACGCTTTCTCGTCTGTTGTTGTCTATATCGCTATGCTGTTCTAACCGTCTTTCAGGTACTCTGCGTGCCGCATTTTAGCCGCTAACCAACCCCTGCGCCAACGATATCATCGCAGCTGTCCATATCAGCGCTACGTCAGGATGCGGTATATAGAGTCGCTTGCCTATCCAGCTGCCTGCCTGTTCGTCTGTCTTCGGTTTTCCGCTCAGTTCCCAAAGCCTTGTCGGACTCTTTTGTCTGCTTGCTGCCTACGAAGATTCCCGTACTGCGACATTGTTTCGCCGAGAATTTCGGACTTGGCCCAGCTTTGTACGAGCCTCGTTGGCTGCTTGGATAGAAAATAGGCTGACATCAAGGGGGCGGAAAAAGGCTGGGTTGGGAATCCGTAAATTGATGATAAAGCTAGGTACGGTCAGTTATCTCTTTTGCTGCTTTATGTGCTCGTTTCGTCATCGTCGCCACTGGGCCGTTAGTGGCGGCCTTTGGGTCTGTGCGAACGGACAGCGGCACAGCCGTTGCTGTTGCTACTACCGCTGGTTGGGGCGTCCCCTACAGCCTTTGCCGTTGCCGCCATGACCAGCAGACCATTGCCACACTACTGATAGCTTCACGCAGGGCAGCGACTGAGGCAGGTGGTAGATGACAGATACACCGTAAGCTTGGCACCCCCACAGGTCTTCAACAGTTAGTGGCTGTAGCAGCAGTAGTAGTATATGGCAGAGGATCGCAGGCAACCATGGCACAGTTGATCAGCGTCTGCCGTGTCTAGGGTATCCATGCTCATCAGCAGGTGCCTGCGCCGCGATGTCCAGCGCAACGCTTTGTAGTCGGCAGACTTCACGGTGGCATCGAGAGTGAAGCCGCTTTCGCTGCTAACAACAACGAAGACAGCGAGCGGGCGAAGAGGACACAGGAACACGGAGAGGAAAGGGGTGTTAAAGAAGGAGAGAGAAAGAGCAGAACGACGTATAATAAGTGCTATACCAACAATCCGCGACGGCAAGAGAAGCAACATCGGATAGCGGAGGGCTATCAGACGCATTAGCCTACCCAAAATGAAATAGAATAAGAGGCGGTCGCCTTGTCATACAAGATTGG